TAAAAAATCTGTGTCGACAAATTTACATAATCGACGTCATCGATTATTTCAACTAATCGGTGCAGCCCTATATTTGTCACACAAAAAGAATGAAGCATAAAGAACTATAACAGGTCAGATTCTGCAAAAACAACAAAATCTTGGATAAACTCCCACCTCATTTAGTGTCCAGGAGTTTGCAGTGTGTCTCTGCAAGGTACAGAGAATGATACTGGCCAAAATAACTCAGAAACTCGCCCAAATAAGTGAATTCCGTGAGATTCCGTCTTTTATTAGCCTGGTAAAAACCAGACCCTTGTCCTTCACTTTGCTTCGTACAGAGGGTCCGGACTCGCTGTTTTAGGGAAGCGATTCTTGCTGGAGGCGTGGCCTCTGCTGAAGTGTGTGTGTGTCGCNACTACAAGCAGACACTGCGCAGAAAATTGAGGTTCTGTTCTCTGATTGGTTCAGCTAAAACTCTGCCAGCAAAATCCATCTCAATGGAAGAAGTCCCAGACGGAGCAGAGAAGCGAAACTAGAATTGAGCAGAGCTGCTTAGGAAGGCAAGAACCAGGCTAGCCTTTTATACTAGATTCCCTTTTATTTGGTCAATTCCGCGTTTTCCACATCACAGAAATCACCCCTAGCAACTTACAAACAGAGAAGGTGGATTCTGATTGCCTGTTGTCACGCACATTTCCGCCATGTTTGATCGTGTAAAGAGGCTCACAGCTGATCATAGTAATCGATCTGAATTTTTTCTCAATTAATAGTCATGATCAAATAATAGCCCAGCCCTAAATCAAATTCTGATGTGGACCAAGAAAGCCAACTCTGGTCCACCTAAAAACCACGGTATTGGTTTGGATAAAGTGAACTGTGGTGCTGTTTAAATGCATGTGTAAGCAGACTACAGCGTGGGGAATTCTAGGTAATAGTAATAAACTTACTCATATACCTTGCTGGACGTCTGTGTAAGGCGACCATCACTTCTGTGAAGCTGGGTGCACTCCGCCTAATACYAAACCGTCTCAGACGTGAAAACAACATTCTCCATGGTTCTGCTCATCTTCCTCTCATGCTGAGCTCATCGTTGAAGAGTGTTTGTTTGGCACATTTGCCAAAAACAAAAAAAGAAATTCAATAATGGCTAAAGTCTCTATTAAACCTTTATAAAGTCACTATTTTTGAGTTTGGTTTGGTTGACACGGTGCAGTGTGAAAGCAAGCTGAAAATATCAACAAGTGTTGCAGTTTTAGTCCCCGATTGAACCGAGTCTACCAGACTATCAGGTGTGAAAACAGCCTGAAACACATATAGACTGAGATTTTATGAGATGTTATTTTTCAAGGTTTTAACAAAACTGTAAGTGGTACATGGACTGTACTTATATAGCGCCTTTCCATCCGACCAGGATACTCATCGTGCTTCACACAACAATCTGTATCCTCGTTTACCCATTCACACAGCACTCTATTAGAGCTCTACAAAAGTAACATTTACAAATGCTATGGAGACTAATTAGTGCTTTAAATCACATTCATACGCTGGTGTTTCTGCTTGGCCTTCGGAGGAGTCGGACGCTTTTGCTCTTTCTCCCGTACCTCCCTCCTTTTCCCTGCTTCGCTGCTGAACCAAGCCTTTCTTTTACCTATCATTCGACAACAAAAGACTATGGATCTGGTCAACTGGTCTCTGAATGCAATTGATACCATTTTCTCCACTCTGAGATTAGAGCGCGGGGAGAGCTCTTGTCCCAGTGGAACGGTCGCGGCCGGGCGAGTTTCAGCCAGCTGMGGGGGTTGGAACCTGATCTGCCTGGCACCTCTTTCCATTGAGGACGTCGTAGATGTTTTCATATTTGGATTTATGATAATCGGATTCCTGCTGTTTGGCTGTGGAGGAGTTCTGGTTTATCGGAAAATGAGAATGGCACTGACGGCGATTCAGTCCTGTGAAAAGCTGTCTGTATCCCTGGATGGAATCTCTCATACGGTGAACACACAGACTCTAATGGTGGGAGAGTTGAATCGCAAACTGGATGTGGTTCTAACTAGGATTGCAGCCCAGCGGCGTGAGGAGTGAGGGCAACATCTGGGTGAAGTTCATACGGGAGAGGCAAGATGGTAACTACTCTGGAATATTTGGCATTTTTGCAACACAGAGGCACAGTTAAGACTTTAAGCAGCGGAGAAAAAAAGTCTGCTGCTGCTCTAAAGAACTTACTCCATCATTGGATCCCCACAGATGTGACCTTGGTCACAGGCTGATAAAAACTCCCTGGATGATATGTGTGGGTGGAAGCCTTGATTCTCCCCCCTCCCTCTCTCCATCCCCCACCTATATCTGGTCCCAGTCCGAAGCCACGTCGGTTGGAACAGAGAACTGAACTCTGAACATAGAAATGGACTCTGGTGAACTGTGGTCGATTGATAACAACTGGTTGGACTTTGGAGGTCTCTGATTGGTCCCCGGCACTTTGTCCTTGATGTCACCAGTTCCTCTGCAATCCCTTCCCCTGTCCATACTTGTTCTCCCCCGCCTCCTCCCCTCCCTGCTCAGCTGCCTCTGCTCCTATTTGCAGAGTCGTTTTTTTGTGTGATGGTCATGTGTTTTCTGTTTTTAAATTAAACACAGGATCAAAGCTCTTTTTTAAACTCATCCTTCCTATGTGTGTGTATTCTAAACTGCAAGGTAGCMCACCACGCTGCGCAGTGCCCTGGACATTCCTTCCCCCGTGTCTGTCATGTGTGTGTTTCTCCGGACGGATGTTCAAAACTAATTTCGTTCTGCATTGCATCTGATGTTGTGTATGAATGACAATAAACGATTCTTGATTCTTGATTCTTGATGGGACTCACATCAGAGTCAATGGGGGGTCAGTGTCTTGCTCAAGGACACAACAACTGAGACAGCTGGAACGGGGGATCGAACTGGTGACCTTCCAGTTCTAGGACGACTCCCCTCTAACCACTCTGCCACGTGAAAGATGGCGGGTTATATGCATTCATTCAAGCAATGCCTGGCTTTTGACTGATTGATGGACTTACTGTTAAATGTTTTATTAAACCTTCTGTAGTTGTCTGTTGTGTTCCACTGTTATTTTTTTTACCAGTTATTTGTCTGAGCTGAAACCCTGGAGGGATCAGGAAGATATTTATGAGCTGGAATCTCTCTTCTGCTGTCAAGTCAAAGTTAACAACAATACAGCTAGGATGATAGTTTTTGTTTTCTATGGGAATAAAATGATGCTAATGTTAATGATGTTATTGTTTTCTTTGCGTTCTGAAGTTGATGTTTAATGAATCTGTCTTTCTTTCATTTCAGTTTGTAAGGATCCACCATATAAAGTGGAGGAGTCTGGATATGCTGGCTTCATCTTGCCCATTGAAGTTTACTTCAGAAACAAGGTACTTTAATCAGCTCAGTCCCCAAAATGATGTATTTTACACATTTAAAAAACTGGATGTAACGTCATGTCAGTTCGTATCTCCTAAATTAAAGAAACAGCTTTTTTTAATATCATTTTGATTGTGAGAATCTTTAGAGTTTCTGTTTTTATTCATTTAAAATGGCTGAATACTGGGACAAAGGTGTTTTTTCTCATAAAGACATGGCTTTATGAGAAAAAACACCTGTCTGAAATGTTTAATACAAAGTGTTAGATGGATGTTTAACCTTCAGCTTTTGTMATTGCTGTTCTACATTGACTGAAACAATCAGAAGATATAAATAATCAGGTTAGAGATAGTAAAACATTATAGAATATCTGTGTTGTCCATGCTATAAAACATGGTTTTCTTGATCTGCTGTCAAACTGATTTTTATTGTTTTCCAACCCCACAACCCTGGTGGTGGCTGTTTTTCCRCAGGAAGAACCGAAGAAAGTTCGCTTTGATTACGACCTTTTCCTCCACCTGGAGGGTCACCCGCCTGTCAATCATCTCCGCTGTGAGAAGCTCACCTTCAACAACCCAACAGAAGAATTTCGAAAAAAACTGCTGAAAGCTGGAGGGGTAGGATGGYATTGGGCGTGGGGACTCAACGAGTTGTTCATCTTCTTAGTGATGTCTTTTAAAGGAATGTGTAGATGCTTAGAAATTCTTTTAAAAACAGTCTTAAAATGATAAAAAAAGGTTAAAATATATGCTTAAACTCTACAAAAAAAAAAACGTTACTTAGCCTCTTTCTGACATTTAATGGCTCTGCCCTTCGTCTATACTATTCCAAATATTTTCTGATTTTTTTCCATCATGATGCTTCTAACCAAAACACTTAAATAGTTGTCACCTCACTGGGTTTAACATGCTTTAATGAGTCTGCTGTTTTGTAGCTTTGACCAAAAATAACACCAAAATGTTTTTACTGACTTTCATTACTAAAGTAGAAAAGACTTATTCTTGCAGTTCCTGTCCAYTTCTCTGTAAATATATAAAAGATGCTGATAACACAAGGAGCGAAARATGTTCCAGACTAAAACAAACATTRTCTGACTTGTTAATTTGTGTAGTTCAGAAATGCTGTTGTAAAAACAGCAGAACAAACGTGGTCTTCCTGAAGTGGGCAGAGTCTCTGCTTGGGTTGRCAGGTGAGGGGCTGGGCTTGTCTTAGGCATTGCTAGGTTTCCCAGATTGTGACGGTACAATCCGCAGATCTCTCCAAACAGCTAATTTGCTGACACTAACAAAACATTTGCATAGTGTCAAAAAACGTCTGGGAGAATTTACTATTATTATTTCTTTTTTGCACTTGAACTGTTTCTAGAAGCAATACAGACCCAAATTAAACTATAAAACATGTAAAATGAGAATTTTGCATAATAGATCCCCTTTAATGATKTTTATTTATAATTTTTTAATAACTCTAAAGCACTGGTTCTTTGTARTTTCTCTGTGCAGATCTGCTCTTTGTAAAATAAAGTTCAGAGTCGGATAAGTTGCTGTTAGCAGTTAATTAGCCATATTATTTGTCTCTTCGGTGTGCCTGCATTTATCGCCTGCTAACATGCCACATTTACCACAATTGATTGTTACTTCAAACCAAGAAATGGTGTTTCTCTCTGAGACAAGTCATGACTGACGGGGTTATCCACCCACTAAAATCTACAACAACAATGACGTATTTTAAAACAGCATAAAAGTTAAGAGGAATTCCTTCCTCGGCTACTGTACACAACTAAATGATGTCTCCATTGGATCTGAGGGTGAGACAAACCAAAACGAAACAAACACTTTGTCTCTGGGACCAAATTTAAGGACATTTACAGTGCAGGAATGTTATACAGGAAAATGTTGACGTTTTACCATCTTTTAAACTGGCAACCAGCCCTTACCTGGCAGTCAATCATTTCACACTTAAAGACAAGTTCAGGTAACACCATGTCTGTGCACAGATAGTAGACGGGACGTAAAATCTCTACTGCACACACTCTGGTTTCAAAAACACGACATGGCAGCTACCGTAAACCATGACTTCAGTTCACTACAAGAGAATGTGAGGACATTTTGTCTAGAATTATGATGCATGTTGATGGCCAGTACTCTGCAAACACCTGCTACTTTCTGATGATTTATTTTATAACATCACAGCAGCATTGTCATTGAGTGTGGAAGAAGCCGAAAGCATTCCAAGACTACAGCTCTAGATGAAGACACAACGTGTCGGACTTGTGCTGCAGAGCAAAATTCTTGATTCTAAAATCAACCATCTATGATCTATGATCATTTTTCCATTATAACCCTTTACTGGGTGAGGTTTGAAAAGTGCTACATTAATGTGGACTTTTTCATTGAAGAATACTGAAAACAGAGCAGGTTCTAAACGCATTTATTTTATTTTATTTGTTATTTTGTTTTGTATTTTTGTTTTGTTATTGTGCAGATATAACGTTGTGCTTCATTTGTTTGTCCACAGACACGAGATCCTCACAAACGTGGTTCAGAAGAATCTAAAGTAAGACTGCCAACATGTCTTGTTTTAGGGGGTGGGGGTGTCACATGTTTTCACCAGTTTTAACCCCTAAAAGTCCCCATGCACAGACWTTGTCTGCACTGTAATAGGTTACCTCACTTCTAGTGTCTACAGCAGTATGAGACGTCACACTATTAACACCTAACTGATTTTAAAAAAAAAGTCATCATTTGTTTAAAGTACAAAAAAAATTATATTTAGAACTGGTTTGATAGCAACACATAATAAAGCTCAGTATGTACCAGATAGGTGCATGTAATGTCAGTAACACACATGTAATGTTCCTGTAAGAATGAATCATATATGTTATGTAGRTTAGTGCAGCAACATTGTTGCTGTTGTTGTAGTGTCTTAGTCTTGTGTGACACTGCTGCAGCTTATCTGTTGTGTGATTGTGATAAATTTCAAATGTTTTAAAAGAGGGTTTTCTTGCCAATGCAAAGTTCACATGTTGAATAATCTTATTGTGAAGGATTAAAAAGATTTGTGACTTCTGCTGTTTTGATGCTGCTGCATAGTTATTTGGTAGTTTACCCAGATAATGCACAACTATAGGCCTAGGCTAAAGTGCTTTAAATTTTCCCTTGTGTGGATGATCACAACAAGCAACACTTGTGCGTTGCACTGGCAGCATGTCTTCAAAAAGAATCAACGTAAAAAAGTGGACACAATACACAACTGTACAGAGGAAGCAACATGCAAATATCAATACTCTTACAATGCATTGAAGTAATGTGTCTGCCACTAACCTCGCTGAGATTTCTTTATTTGTTTGTTCTTTACCYTGCTCGGAGGTGTGACAGACGGGTGTTTCTGCTCCCACTGAATGAGATGAGGTGGTCAGAACACACATCAGTAACAACATGGGGCGTCTTCTGAAATGTTTATGTCCCAGTGTTCACAGCAGCCTTGTGGAAATATGTTGCTTTTCCTCACGTGACTCATAGCATCACATTTCTTGTGTACCGTCATCATATTTAGGTACCTCCCAAGCGGGGTCAGATAGTTTATCCTCCAGGTCAGCATCAACAGGACATTTTCTATCTGGTGTAGCTCAACACTTTGCAGAGACTCATCAACAGTCTGCCTAATACCCTCTGACAACAGAATTTGATCATGCTGCTTGTTGCTCTTCCTCTGGCAGGTGATGGTGATGCAGGAGGGATCGACCTCTCTGTTCAGTCAGCACCTCAAGCTGCCAACACTTCCCAACAGCTCACTGACATCCTCCTCCTCRGACCCAAAGAGAAGCAAGAGCTTCCACAGTTCAAAGGTCAGTGTTGCAGGTACACCCCAGAGCTGATAGGTCTCCACTGTATTTTCTCTCTGTCTCACCCAGCTCTGGAAATCTGTAGCCCCTCCRAGTCCCCTAATCATACAAACATACAGTATTTGAGAGATTCAGTGATGTCCAAGATATTTAAACTCTAAGACCCAGATTCAACTTATGCAAAGGATAAATTGGCCACGACCCAAACAAAAGTCCTTACATGTCCATACACCTGTTTTATTTAGATCTAATTCTTTTTTTTATTATTATTTTGATTGGTCAAGACWAATTTGTGGGAGGACACAACTGGAGTTTCTGTAAGATATCAAATGTTTTCTGAGAAAGAAGAAAATGTGAAATACTGTATATGTAAATACAGTGGCATGTTGTTTCCATTATGAGCTATTTTTAGTCCTTTTAAACTGTGTCATTGTTGAGCCTYTTTAGGTGAGGCCCTTTTCACATGGAAACACTTTCAGTCTAAACAGTGTGTGTGATAAATTACTTGTGGTGCACGAGGTCATACTTACGCATCCACTTGCACTCTCCTCAACTGAGGCAAGAAGCCTTGCCTCAAATGATTGTTATGAGATTTACTGCAAAACAAATTTTAAAAGTAAATAAATAAAGTTAGAGTTAAAATTTACCATAACTTATATTATGAAATAAAACCTTGTTTCAGAGTTGAATTTGGAAGAAACTGTCGACTTGGATAACTCAGAGCTTCACACTTTCAGATGTATTGTACACATAATTCAGATATTTGTTTATGATTATTTATTGAAAAGGGGCAATGCACATTATTGAGTAAAAATATAACCTTTAAAAGTGCCAGATGAGAACTAACTTTCACCCACCACCTGAAAATGAAAGGTAGGTGATAATAGTTTGGCCTGTGTGTGTGTGTGTGTTTACCTGTTTTTTGTTACCCTTTTAGGGCCTTTGTCAAGATCAATAGTCCTTTTGAGGACCAAAGACCGACGGTCCTAATATGGTGAATTTGATTGATGATTTTGTTACTGAAAGCATAGTTCTTCTTTTGGTACCATGGACAAAATCGGTCAGTCAGAAATTCCATAWACTTTTCAGGGATCAGTTTCTCAACTTCAGAGACCTTAAAGTGGTCAACCAGCTCTCTCCCCATGGTTRAAGCCCAGAACATGACACTGCCTCCTCCTTGCTGACATCACAGCCTTGTTGGGACATGGTAGCTGTCCACCAACCATCCACCACTCKATCCATTTGAACCATCCAGGGCTGCACAGCACTCATCAGTGAGCAAGACGGTTTGAAAATGAGTCGTAATGTACTTCTGGGCCCACTGCACCTGTTTCATTTTGTTAGCATTGGTTAGTTGTGGCCAAATGGAAGGTTTATGCATAACTGCAAGCATCTGGAAGATCCTACATRYTCATTGGCGGTCACTTGGAAGTCGAGTATGATTGTCCTCGGTTTTGGTTCTTGTGAGTCTTCGAGTGTGTGAAAAGGCAGATCCTGGAGCCGCATATTTTTGTGTAGTGTGGACATGAGTGAGTGGTGGTGGGTTGAAGTTGGGCCTTTTTGGTGGTGGCCCTATTTTCTGGTGTCTGCGCTTGTCTGCTGCAGCACAGTGTTGTCATTTACAGTGCAGTTTCTTCACAGACCAGTCTTCTCCATGTCTTCCTGTTGGTTGCTGTTTCCTCCCAGTTCTTAAGGACAGTAAAGAAAATTTTTGATGTTTGTCTTTATGTTGTCCTTATACTTTTTCTTATGACCTCTCAGAGCAATTCAGGGTGTAAAATGGACTAGTTCCCCTTTGGGAGAATGCCTGCATGAGATGTTGAACATGGGGAGATTGATGTGCCTGCAGTTACCACACAGTCTTTGGCAGAGAGGGGTCAGGATACTATGGCATGGAATCCATGATGACTGGGGACCACCCTCTGTTGCAACCTCCATCCGCTATCACTGTCATTGTGAATTACTGTGACACTCACCCAGTTCTGCCGTTGAGGTCTGTTTGGATCGCACTTTGTCTGAAACCTCCCCTTAAACCTTAAAGCCAAGAGTGACCCTACCTGGACCAAAGCTCCAGATGGCATTCCTCTCAGGTTCATTGGAACACACAAGATTCTCCACCATGGCAAAGTGGCAATCTGTAGAGAGGATCCTACACCTTGTTGTTAAAAGGACTCTAGAGGCGCCAGCAACTTCAGATATCTGTTTGCTGCTTTGTAATGGCATTTTAGTAGCTGCTTTGATATGAATCTGATGTAATTGTCTAGCAGAAACCTTTCCCATTGAGTCTTTATCTGCACAAACTATTACATACTTTTCTGCAGCAGAGATCCTTTTTCTTTCCCATATTGTTTGAAAATGGTGGTCTACATAATAATGTGGAACAACCTTCTATAGTTTTATCTTTAATTGGACTCACCTGGCAAACCAACCATCACAGGTGTCAAAAAAAATAAATACAATGTGCATAATAATTTGGAACAAAGTGTACACTTAGTGCTACTTACTATGCAAGACTGTTACTTAAAACTTTTGCATTTATTGTTGGAGTTAACCCTGTCTATGTGGAATATATCAGAGACTTTCAGCAGATTTTAATGAAACAAATAACTACAAATCATTTACTTTTGGTTTCAACCTCATTCAAGATCGCCGCCACAACCAACTGACCCTAGTAGGTACAAAAATTACTGTAAGTAGTTTACAGATAATGGTTTGAGATTTGGTGTGGTACCAGCTGAGTCTTTCTTAACAGATACTTCATGTGCTAACATGTGAGATTATGTGATGTCACATCAGACTGGACATGTTTAAAGGTTTCTCTGAAATAGCGAGGTATTTACTGAAATTATAGATCCAGTCTAAGAGATAGCGTCTAACCCTCCACCGACCACTTACCTCTAGCAATTTAAGACCAACTTGGGGTGATTCATGCCTATCACAGTGTGGGCTTGTTTTGTCATATCAGAATCAGTTTTATTGCTATTGTCAATGAACAGGATTCACAGACAAGGAATTTGCTTCAGTGTAAAGGTGCAGTAGGTATAAAATATAACAAAAGATGAAAATACAAAGAATATAGGAAAAATATAATAAAATACAGAATTCAATACAGTATTAGGAGCAGACAATATATTTGGAGTAGTGTCCATATACTCATGAAAGGCTAATTGATATAGTGTAAGTGTAAGCAGCACAATAAATCATTTAAAAAGCAGAACAAATGAATAATCTCATCTGCTGCTTTATGATGTAGGGCTGTTGCCTGTTTCATGTCTCTGCTGAAAAATGACCGTGTCCATGCAGTTGAATCAAAGTTTACTTTATTCACCCAAGGTCCTGCAGCTGGTTCTCCTTACCTTCTTTGAGGGGAGGTAGATGGTCAAAAATACCACCCAAACTGGAAAAACGCCTTTGAGTAACAACTTGGTCACTACCAGGTACCATTTTTAAAAGAAAACAGAAAACACCTGTGAAGGATGCATTTTAACTAGACTTTGAATATTTAAAAATCACTGCTAGTTCCTAAACTGAAAATCAGAGCCTCCTCATTCGTGAATTTAAGAGGATCTGTTTAAAACTCTGGCCTCAAAGGAAGTGGACAAAATGACTTCTTTCCAGAAATATTAGAATAGAATAGAAATAGCCTTTATTGTCCCCCCGAAGGGAAATTCAGGTGTCCCTGACTGCCTGAGAGCACCGCAATCATTGGATGACTTTAAAAAAGGCTTGAAGACTTTTCCTTTTAATCAAACTTATTCCTCTGCATGATTTTATCATCGGTTTTAATTACTTTTAACAGAGATTTTTTTTGTAGCACTTTGAGATTTTTGTTAATGAAAANGGGCAGTGTACTGTATAACTTATTATATTGTCTTATTAGAGTTTCATGCATGGATTTTATTGGTCAAGTGTATACATGCCCTGTCAGTAGTCCCCTTGTAATACTTTCCAAAATGTATTGTTTTAGAGAATGTTTAAAAGACCACACTCAACTTATCCTTTCTCGTACAGCATTTTGGAACTTTAAGTGAACTTCTGTGCAAATATTAAAATGTAAACTTCAGTTTTCAGTGGACATTTTTGTTCCAAGATTTTGTTACAAGTCTGTGATAGTCATATGTTCAATGTTGATAAGCAAGAAAAACTGTGTATTCTATCCAGAGCACTTAACCAACTCTTTTTTTGTCAACCTACAACAGAGGTAGACGGCTTTACTGCAACGGAGGGCTTGACTGAAGTTATGAATGAGCCAGCAGCTGTACATCTCGAGGCCCCTGGGGTCACCAGCCAATAGACAAAATGAAAGGTTTTAGAGGTGGTAGCGGACAGTTGTAACACAACTGGTCGTCTAGACTACTTTAATGGGTTTACTGCGTTTGTGAAATATTGACAACAGGGCTAGAGGTGAGACCTCGGGACAAATGGCCCCTGTCGTTAAAACAAATGTATTTCCTTCTTCTTCCACTTTGTCTTTTTAAAGTTGAGTAAAAGGCTTCCTCACACACTGAACAGGTCCGCTCAAAAGAAGTTCTAAGTTTGCTGTTTAAGCCCATAGATGGGAGCTAAGAAGACTCTTTTTATTTTCTTTCAAGAATGGGGTTCTTTTCACAGAATCTGGGGTGGTGTGTATGTTTTCTTTTGTGCTAAAGGCAGAGAATTAAGCTATTGTTGATCTAGCTGCCTGAGTTTTTTTCCTTCATTTTTAAAATTATTTTAAAGTTCACATAAAAAATAAGACTCTTTCTCCCAATATATCTGTTTTTAACTCTAAATGATGGCAGTGTTTCCATGTTTTTCACAACATTGAATTATATTACGTGGCCAATCAGTGGTTTTAGGATTAAGTCCATCGAAATGTCAGCCAGTGATATTTCTTTCCCTCCTTATGTTTGCCCACTGACCTAAAGAGGGATTTCCTTTTTCCTTGTGTCCTAATCCTTTTGAACTAAAAGGTTGTTTTTTCTTTTTTGTCTTGATTACCCCTTTTTGGCACTTTAGTAATCCACAAAGATTTTGCTCAAAATTTTCTATCTGTTTTTTGTTTTATTTAATTTTTGTGTATGATATAAATTTTTTATGCATGTACAAAAGCTAACAAATTTACACTCATGTTTAGTATTTCTTGGAAGACTTCATATCACTCACCTTCTTTGATGCTGGAGTTTTAAATTTAGACCATTTTGGCTGAGAAATGATGACATATAAGTTTTGGTCTTACCTTGTAAATGGCATGCACAGTGTCATYTATTATTGTAAATTCTTACTGAATATGTTGGCTCCAAACTTTAACCAGCTGTAGATTTACACTGCCTGGCCAAAAAAATGTAAGCATAAAAAAAGGCACACACTCTAATATTTAATTGAACCACCTTCATCTTTGATTATGGCACACATTCGCTGTGGCATGGTTTCTATAAGCTTCTGCAATGTCTCAAGATTTATTTCCATCCAGTGTTGCATTAATTTTTCACCAAGATCTTGAATTGATGATGGTAAACTCTGACRGCTGCACAAAGCCTTCTCCAGCACATCCCAAAGATTCTCAATGGACTCTGTGGAGCCAATCAGATGAAGTATGCCTTAATAATGACATTTTGCTACGGCGCCATGTTTGAGTTCATTATTCGTAAAATTCAGTGGTTTAATTATTTCATGTATTGTGAGGTCACGTAGCTGTGGTTGCRATCTTAAATCAGGTTGATGCCAAAGTTCATGAAATATTTTGCGAACAGAGAGACAAACTAACATGCACAAAGACGAGAGCAAAAATATTTCTGCTCTTTCACCTTTAGCAACTGAGACATCCTAACTAATAGTTTATTGTTCAGTTCTTCATCATCACTAGCTAAAATTGCATTTCTTGTGTTTTTATCATCAGGATGGCTCCAAAGGAGGTGGGACTGCACTCCTCACAACAGCCACAACCACCAGCACTAACAGCAGCAGCTTTTCCAAACTCCACAAACCCTCCAAGGACCACAAAGACAAGCCTCCAAAAGACCTAAAAGAGCCCAAAAGTGCCTTCAGAGACTCAAGCTGGGAACCCAGCAAAGTCCCCAAAGAATCTTCACGAAAACCCAAAGAGAACCAACCACTTAGAGATAACAACCCTAAGACAGGCATCAAGGAACCCAGGTCTTTCTCCAAGGAGCATCGAAACGAGAGAATGACCCATGGGTCAGGGCTTAACAAGCGCCTATCCTCTCTGGACACTGATGACCTCATGGCAAAAAAACGCAAGAAWGCAATTCTGGATTCATCAGGAACGCTGATATCAAGCTCAGACAGTCAGCATTTGGATAAAAAGCTCTTGAAGGATCGATTACAAATGGGGACTAATAAATTACGCTTAGAGGGTAACGAGGCAGAGCGCAGAAAAGGATCTAACCTTCCTCCGATCCAGGACCTGGTTGACCCCAATGACTCTGACATGGAGGACCAGTCCAAATCAGATGTAAGTAGAGCACATTTTTCACTTCCACATTGTTGACTAAACCAGGGGTATAAACATTTTTGGATGTTAGGGTCATACCCTAAAAAAACATGCATGATCACATGTGAGACCTCAAGATGCCACACTCCAGGAATGTTATTAATGACTCTCAGCTACTTTCACGTCTYGAAATCAGTATCTGCAGAACTGACTGAGTTACAGACATTTTTGTGTTGGTTCWTGTTGATTAGTTGTGGCGTTTACCTTGAATTAAGTTGACTCTGAAGGTTWATCAGTTGTTGGTGGACATCCAGTGATAAATATGTCCAGTWTTTCATGAGCCCTTTTTGCTAACAAACAGCATTGACTCCAARYGGTGAAGCAAAAGTTTTAGGCAAACATCATGCACAATAAYTAGTACTTGAAAATATGTGTTGTGAATGACTCTCAGCTACTACCTCACCTAATCTTAGGTGAATTTTTGTAAAACTGAATTATCATCATCATCATCAAGTTTATTAATAAAGCACATTTAAAAACAACAAGTTGTCACCAAAGTGCTGAACACAAGGCAAAGATCAATATAAAAGCAAACAACATTCTTAAAAATATAAAAGATAAAACACCAACAACAAATACATAACTCACAATTAATCAAAAATCTGCAAAAACAGGTGTGTTTTTAATAGAGATTTAAAAACAGGAAGTGACTAGGCCTGTCTAACATTGGGGGGTAGATTGTGCCAAAGCTTGGGAGCCACAACTGAAAAAGCTCAATCTCCCCTCAGTTTCAGCCTGGTCTTAGGAATGACCAAAAGCAGCTGATCAGAAGATCTTAGTGCCCGAGAAGGACTGTATGGRTGAAGTAGATCAGTGAGATAAGAGGGTGCAAAACCATGTTGGCATTTGTAAGTGAGCAGGAGAATTTTAAAATCTATTCTGTAGTGTACCGGGAGCTAGTGAAGGGAGGATAAGATCGGTGACARATGCCCAAACCTACGAGTTCCTGTTATAAGTTGAGCTGCAGCATTCTGAACAAGTTGAAGACGTGAAAGGGAGACCTGACTGATCCCAACATGAAGTGCATTGCAGTAATCTAATCCAGAGATTCTTAACCTGTGGGCCGTGAGCGCCACCTTGAGGGCCTCAAAAGAACAACAGTTTTTAACTTTGGGCCGCAGAGGGCCGTGGGACRHCADTGATTTTGAATAAGGTGCAATGCACTTTCTCACCACTAGTAGCAGTAGTGCGCCACTCAGATGTTTAACAACTTTGTTAATATGTAGAAGAAGAACCTTAGAAACCTGCCGTGAATGGAAACTTATTTTAAATTAAAAGTAGAAACAAAAATGAAGGTAACCCATCAAAAACAGCCAAAGTTTGTCACTAATATGAAGAGCAGCTTCTGTTTTTACCAGGCACTATTTTAAAAGTTCAAAACATTATGAAATACAGTTGCAGATACAGCTGTATTTTAATTTGCACTTTATCAAATTAATTTTTAAAATATTTTTAATGTAAGGAAAAAAAATTGTATAGGTCCTCTGGACGGGTTCTTCTTTAATGAAACGTTTCGTCTCTCTTCCAAGAGACTTCTTCAGTCTGAGAGTTTCAGGCAAAATTCAGGCTTTTGAGTCCTGCCTCCAGGTGACTGATACTCACATCACATGGCCATCGTTCACCCTAATTAATACCTTTCGTTAACAGGGGGTGGAGTGATACTGCCAATGGCAGCGCTGTAGCAGGGGGACAGCTGAAAACGGAGGCCCCCACCTCTGTTTAATGACGGACGGTCTTTCTTCACAAAAATGGCTTCTTTTACTCCTCTCTCAAACCAACGTTCCTCTCTATCAAGAATGAGAACATCCTCATCTCTGAAAGAGTGACCGCTGGCCTGTAAATGAGTGAAAACTGCAGAGTTCTGGCCATTGAACTGTTTGTTCAAATAATTGTTTTGGGCAGGTTACAATATAAAAACGTTTGTTATCATCATGTCTTGTGATTATTTGACAGGAGTTTTACTTTCAAACTGTAAGTGTATTTAATTTAGTTATGTTAGTTATGATAGTTTAGTTATGATGTAAATACAATAAAAATTAAACCAAGATTCAGAATAATTATCATTTTGATCCACACATTGGTAATGTCTGACTGGGCCTTGTGCCACTTTACGTTCAACAAATTGGGCCCCGAGGTCAAAAAGGTTAAGAACCCCTGATCTAATCAACTAGTAATAAAAGTATGTACTATTCTCTCAAGGTAAAGTCTAGTCAATATTGGCTTGAGCTTGGCTATCTGTCTTAGCTGAAAAAAACTTTTCTGCTAAACAGTTGATCTGCTTGTTAAACTTCAAATCAGAGTCTAAAATCATTCACAGATTTACAACAGACTGCTTCAAATACAACTGAAGAGAGCCAAAATTAAATGGAAAGGTGTCAGCAGTAGAACTAGGGCTAAACACAATAACTTCAGTTTTCCTGTCATTAAACCTTAAAAAGAGTAGAGTAAAACTTTAAAAATTTGCAGCCATCCAATCCTTAATGTCATAAATACATTTTAATAACAACTGGGTAGAGCAAGCTCTATTGTCAGGTTTCAAGGGCAGGTAGATTTGACAATCATCAGCATTGCAATGAAAAGACAGACCATGTTTCCTTAGAACAGACCCTAAAGGAAGCAGGTACAAAGAAAACAAAAGTGGTCCAAGAARTGATCCCTGTGGAACCCCACAGTAAAGAGGCTCTGAGGCAGAAAAGAAGTTTCCAACATTAACACTAAAACATCTGTGACTTAGGTAGGAATGAAACCAATCTAGTGCTGCTCCTGTGATCCCAACCCAGTGTTCTAAACGTGACAACAGGATYCTGTGGTCAACAGTATCAAAAGCRGCAGTCAGGTCCWGAAGTACCAGGACCACAAATTGACCAGAGTCATTTGCCAGAAGAAWATCATTGTAAACCCTCACCAGAGCCATTTCAGTGCTGTGTAAGTGTTTAAAACCAGACTGAAAAGTTTCAAAAATTCCATTCCCATTTAAAAGGGGCTCAATTGAATAAAAACTATTTTCTCCAAAATTTTAGAAATAAATGGAAGTTTTGAAATTGGTCTAAAATTTGCACCAACTGCAGGGTCAAGTCTAGGTTTTTTTTTTATTAATGGTTTCACTACCGCATGTTAAAAAACATCTGGAATTCACTGGTAGCAATACTGCTATTTATAATAGCAAGAACCGAGGGACCTACAGATGAAAGATTTCTTTAAAAAARGATGCAGGAAAAAGATCAGRAGGGGAACCTGAGGGTCTCTTATGATCAACAATGTCCTTTAAAAATGCAATAGAAAAAGTCTCAAACTGACTGAAGACAGCAGAGCAAGGGACAAAGACAGAGGGATCAACTGTGGAGTGTGGAATGGATGCCCTGGTTGACTCAACTTTTTTAATGAAATACCTGCTAAACTTATTACAGGTGTCTACAGAGCCTTCCAGGCTAGCAGACTGAGGCACATTTAAAATACAATTAATAGTCTCAAAAGAACCGGATTGTGACAATTGGGCCCTATGATTTTAACAATGCAGAAAATGCAGACGGAATCATAGAATTTACCAAACAAGATATAATCCTGTATAAAACACAGACTCTCATAGAATTTCCTTATTTAGGGGAGTTTTTAAGTTATTCATGCTGCTGKCACTTCTTGTACCTTCCATTACCTGATAATACACGCACGTACCCCAGTGATTTTTAGGGATCTGGACAACAACTTCTCTAAATTTTGTCAGCACATGCTGGATTAAATGCAAGTCAGACACCCCTGCAAACTCTTCAAAGTTCAGCTACAAAAGTAGAAGCAAGACTCATTTCCTCACTCAATTCTGAGGYAAAAAGTATGGAATCACTCAAWTTGGAGGTAGAAAATAAGGACACACCCAGTCAATTCCCTTTCCCGAAATGAACACCTGCCTCAGATTAGKTCTGCTCGTTAGTCTGCAGTTAAAAACACCTGCAGTCATGACACKTTGGAGGGCTGCTGGARSAAGTGGAGTGGRWAGAASCATGGCTCCAACAAGAGAAATGTCTCTTGAAACAAAAGAGAGGATTGTGAAACTTCTTGAAGAAGGTAATTCCATATTTTCTCCCTGTGCTTGGTCAATAAAAGTAACATTCACTGACTTCCACAATGTTTTCTCTTCATTTCTTTGAGTG